GATTTTACATGTAAGTATATTTCCTTATGAGAAGTATTTGAATACATCTTCTAGATCCCAGAACCATCCTTATATAGTGATTAAAAAATATTTTAGTGTTAAAGTGACCAAATTAGAATCTATTTTTCAAAATTTAACTTGTATTAAGACATACATAACTGGTACTAGATGAAACCTTGTTAAAGTGTACAAAAATTCATTTTACCAATGATTTATTGTATGCCTATGTATAATAATTACGTGCAAAGAACCAGGTGCCATAAGGAGTGCCAAGTGTGAAAAACAGAACCCTGGCCCCCAAAGAGCTTATGTACACTGTCCTACCAAGTCCGCTCAAAGCTCTAAGTCCAGAAGGGCAGGGTTTCTCTTTATGGAAACTATGCTGTCCTTCATCCAAACACATCACAGTCATACTTCATCAGAAAAGAGCCCATTTATCCTTATCTTTGTTTCATATACTCAAGCTAACTTTCCATTTATGACTACATAATTCCCGTAATTATTTATTTTAGCCTGGTATGGGAGTCCTGAATTTTCAGGTCCACCCAGTTTGCTCTTTTACATAGAAGTTACTGGTGTGAAGTTCTAGGAAAGTGACTATTTATAATGATTGATCCAGTCTCAAATTGTTTCACCACTTTTGATGAAAATAGGCTTAAGATGGCTTTTTTAAAAAAAGAGAAAGAGTAGTAACTTTGTGATTGATCGAGTGATTTTAGAGACAGGGTCTTGCTCTGTTGCCCAGGCTGGAGTGCAGTGGCGGTGCAACTGTAGCTCACTATAACCTCGAACTCCTGGGTTCAAGCAATCCTCCTGTCTCAGCCTCCCAAGTAGCTGGGAATGTATCACCACGACTGGCTAATTTAAAAAAATTTTTTTTTTTTTTTTTAGAGAGGAAGGTCTTGCTATGTCGCCAAGGCTGGTCTTGAACTCCTGGGCTCAAGTGATCTTCCTGCCTCAGCCTCCGAAAGTGCTAGGATTACAGGCATGAGCCACCATGCCCAGCCAATTTTGTGACTTAAATTGAAAGCCATTTCTTACTTATGATGAATTATTTGAGAAAAATCAAACAATTGGACCATTATTATATTTCTTGAGTACATACTATGTGATAGGATATTTTATAAATATCATAATTCTCACAATTATGCATGGAAGAAATCATACAGTATTCCCATTTTATAAATGACATAACTGATATGTAGAGAGGCCAAGGTCATACAATTAGTAAATGGCAAGTTATAATTCCAACCTATGTCAGTATGACTCCAGAGTCAGAGTCTTTGTATAATATTAAACCCAGGCTGCCTCTCACTACACCTCAATAAACTCCTTTTGGTTTTTAACCAACCTATGGATAAAAATGACAGACCTAGTTCTGAATTTAGGTTTTGCTTCCAGAGTGAAAATTCTCAAACTATTTAGCTTGGACTTTAATTTTTTACAAAGTTTCATAAAGTTCATTTTAAACTATCAAGGTTCATTCTAAACTATTCTTTATAGTATACAGGTTTACCTCTACCCCACCCCACTTTCATCTATACTTCTTTCGTACCATAGCAAGACTGCATAGAACATATGACTTCCAAATCTACATCTCTACCACTTTCCAACTCCCTAGTTGACTTCTCTACTTCTCCACTTACAGGTGTAACAGAGATCACAAATTTAACATCTTCAAGTCAAAACTTTTAATTTTCCACTTATAACATCCAATCATAAACATGTCTTATTATTTTACTTCTGCCAAAATGAGCCTTTAAAAACACAAATCGGGTCACTCATCTATTTAAAATTCTCTAGATACTTCCCATTTGCACTTTCAATAAAATTCAAAGCATGATGGCCTCATAATCTGACCCTTGTTTACCTCTCTGATCTCATCTTGTTCTACTCTCTCCTCCTTGTGCTTACATTGGGCTTTTCATTCACTATTGCTTCTCTGGGGCTGATCTTCCTCCAGGTCTTCACCTGAGTGGCTCTTTCTCACCATATCATGTCCTCATATGTAATACTGCTCTTACACTACACTCTCTATAATTCTTTATCCCATTGCCCTGCTTTATTTGCCTCATGGCACTGATAAATATCTGAAATCATTTATTTTTATCTCTCATACTAGAATATGAGCTTTATGAGAGGACACTGTCTTATTGTTGCTGTATTCCCAATGTCTGAGGTTAAATATTTAT